AAAAAAAGGCCGGGCATGGTGGCTCATGCCTGTAATCCCAGCACTTTGGGAGGCCAAGGCGGGTGGATCATGAGGTCAGGAGATCGAGACCATCTTGGCCAACATGGTGAAACCCTGTCTCTACTAAAAATACAAAAATTAGCTGGGCGTGGTGGCACATGCCCATAATCCCAGCAACTTGGGAGGCTGAGGCAGGAAAATCACCTGAACCAGGGAGTCGGAGGTTACAGAGCCGAGATCATGTCACTGCACTCCAGCCTGGCGACAGAGTGAGAGTCTGTCTCAAAAAAAAAAAAAAAAAAAATTAACTGCGTGGAGTGGTGGGGTGGCGCATGCCTGTGGTTCCCCGTACTCTGGAAGCTGAGGTGGGAGGATCACCTAAGCCAGGAAGTTGAGGCTGCAGTGAGTCAAGATCATGCCACTGCACTCCAGCCTGGGTAGCAGAAGTGAGACCATGTCTCCAAAGAAAAAATTTAAAAAAGAAACCAAGACTCAGAGAGGATCTGTGATTTAGACATGGCCTCAGAGCTAATGAGTGGGAGAGCCAGCATTTGAATGTGTCTTTTGTTTCTAAAGCCAGGGCTTAGTCACTAGTCTACTCTATTTGTTATACGGGGATGTCCTTCACTGTTCCCCAAGACACAGCACACATTTTGGGACCTAAATTGTCAGATTTCAGTGATCTGTTTCCTCAGCCAAAGACTCATCTGACTGTCCATGAACTTACCCCAATCCTCACTGCATTTCCAGGAGAAGGAACCCTACCCATGACATCAATGTTAAGGTTTGGCGGAGGGATGTAAGCTATTCAGATATTATTGATTTTCCCTCACTATTTTGACTGCTATCTCCAACCTCTGGTTCAAGAGTTCTACGTGCACCTTACCCTTCCACTATCACTTTGCTTGTGGAATGTGCCAGGAGCTCCCAGGCTCCAGACCGATTTTTCCCCTTTAATGCACTCACTGAAACACAGTGATATTGCCTGGGGAATGCATGTAATTTGAACATTATGTGTGTGATACTCTGTTGTGGAGATTTCCTTCTTATTACTTTGCAGGAGTCAATTACAATCTACATTAGCATGTATGGGAGACATAGAAAGTAACATGTAACATTTCCACTTTTTTAAAATTGAAATTTACCTTTTGTAAATGTCATTTAAAAAAGATGAGAGAGTCACATAAAAGACAACAAAATGTTTTTACAGTAACCTTGAAGGGCATGTCTTAATCTTTTAAGACGAGGCCAATCTGTAAGAGTGGCTGCTGCTCC